CAGAACTCTCCAACTCAAGTGATCCTTACCAACTTCAGCCTTCTTGGTAGCAGGGATTACAGGAGTGAGCTACCAGGTTCTCATTGTCCTATTCTTTTCTAATGAGAAGAGAAAATGTCTGAGCTTTAAGAAATCCTTGAATTTATAGTATGGAAGGAAGCAGTGCAAGGACAGGAATGATCAGAGACCCCTGGAAGCCAAGGTAAGAGAGAGTTTCAAGATTGAAGGGGTGGTGAACAATGCCAAATGCTGCAAAGAGGTCAAGGAAAATAAATATGGAGAGTAATCTTGGATTATTCTTATTGGATTTGATGACTCCAGAAAAATAGGAGTGGAAGTCAAGGGGGAAAGCAAAGAATGGGTGGTTAGAAAGTAAAGGCAATGGGAGTAGACCACTTATTTAAGAAATTTGCTAAAGAAATAAGGGAAATGAGAAGGTAACTAGACAGGGTAAGAAGATCAAGTGAGGAAACCTGAACATGTTCAAAGGCGGAGGACAAAGAACTAGTGGAAAAGGAAAGATTGAAAATATTGGAAAGAAAGAAGGAAATATTGAAAAATGGTATAGGAAGAGAGCAGTTGGAAAAATTGATCTTTCAAATTAGTAATGAGTAACTTGTTCTCAGATAGTGTGGGAGCAATGTGGTGCCGTGGCTTTGTGAAGCCTGGCTTCAGAGTCAAAAGTCTTAGTGGCTTGGCCATCACTTGTTAATTGGGTGAGTTTGGGTAAGTAAGTCACAACCTTTCTGGGCTTGGACTTTCTCATTTATAAAATGAGGACTAAATGACCTCTCTCTGAGGTCTCTTCCTATCCTAATTCTGTGAGACTGTGGGAGGAGAGGAGAGAAGGGATCCTGGAAGCCTTCATTTTTTCAGTAAAGTAGGAGGTAAGTCATCTGCTAAGAAGGAGGAGTGGAAAGGGTCACGAGTTTAAGGAGAGTGGAGACAGTTTGTGGCAGCTGTGGTGAGGAGGCTGTTTCTGTAGGGAAATACTCAGGTGTGAATGGGAATGGCACTGCAGATGAACCCATGGTCATTTAAAATGTCATAAAGGGGAAGATGAGCAAGCTGATGTGAATGTTCTGTAAGCTTTGACTGACGCTTAGTTGAATTCAAGGGAGGTGAGTTTTTGCCCATGTCTAGGTCAGTAGGACCCGGCTATGATGCCAAGGGGCCATGTGGGGAAAGGGTGTTGGCAAAGAGAGAAGGGGGCAGCACCAACCTAGCTGCTCTGGGGTGTGCACCTGTTAGGAAGTAGAGAAAAGGTCATGGGGGACGGTCTGGGTTCCATTGTTTTCCTCTTTCTTGACAGAGGGGTTTCTCTGTTTCCTTCCCATCCCCTGGGGCGGATAAGGAGCTAGAGACAGATAAGGAGACTGAGAGAGTCCCCGGAGGAGACTTCTCATGCCAGACCACTGGGCTTTCAATGTCATGTTCTCAGACATTCCCGGATTCTAGGCCAACATGAAGAAAATTCCTGCAGTCTGCCATGTGAAACCAAGAGCCAAGCCATCCAGAAATTACTGTGCTTTAGCAAAAGTTATGGAAGGGGTGTGCTGCAAGGTGCATGCCATTCTGCTGGCTACAAGGAAGAAATGACGCTTGGCCCCCCTGTCCTCTGGGCACTAAAATTCTTGCCTTGATGGGCTTGGCCATGCCTGGGGGGAGGAAGAAAAGGGAGGGGACAGAAGGGACCTTTCCTGATTCCCTCAACTCCCACCCATTGCTAATGCTTTTTTGATGAGATCACAGATTTAGAGCTAGAAGGGACTGTCCCCATGCCCTGGCATCGAGTACCTTCCTTCCACCCCACTCCACCCCCCTTTCAGTTTCCTTTTGTGTGTTGGCTTGCCTCGTTAGATTGTAAGCTTCTTGCAGGCAGGGACCATCTGTTTTTATTTCTATTTGTATCCCTAGCTCAGCACAACTGGCACATATGTGTTTATTGACTATTGACTCAGAAGTCATCTAGCCCAACTCCTGATTTTGCAGAAGCCAAGGGAGGAGAAGTGACATGCCCAACATCTCACAGGTAGTACATGTCTGAGGTAGGATTTGAATCCCAGCCCTTTCATTCCAGAGCCTGTTCTTGTCTGCTTCTGAGCCTGTTCCTGAGGTCTTTCCAGTGTGCTAGGTGCTGCCAGGCCATGTGCTCCTTTAGCAAAGCCTTTGAGACCCTAGGGCTACTGCCCCACCACGAAAGGGAACATTAGGAGACAGACATTACTAATTACCCAACATTGGGATATGGAGAAAGGAGTAGTTGTTCAGTTGTTTCAGTTGTGTTCAACTCTTCATGACCCCATTTGGGGTTTTCTTGGCAAAGATACTTGAGCGGTTTGGCATTTCCTTCTCCAGCTCATTTTACAGATGAGGAAACTGGGGCAAACAGGGTGAAGTCACTAGTCACCCTAGTGAGTGTCTGAGGCCAAATTTGAACTCAGGTGCCCCTGACTCCAGACCCAGTGCTCTATCCACTTCACTACCTAGCTGCCCTCAGCTAGCTGGAGAAGGATTGGACACTTACTAGTACAAAGAACTGCCAGGTAAGGAAACTTCTTTACTAATGCAGGTTGGCACCTTCTTTGCATCTTATAGTTTTAGCAGGGGGTGAAAGCACTCAGAAGGTCCCATAGCCAGTAGGGGTCAGAGAAAGGCCCTGAGCCCCTCTATTTCTTGCCCTCAGGCTGACTGTCAGTTACCAAACATTTTAACCCAAATTTGTTGACAGACAGCCCAGCAGAAACTCCTTCCCCTAGACGGTTTCTTTTGGGGGAGTTGGGGTGTCCTCCTGAAACTACCTCTTTCTCTGGGGAATGATTTCACAGCACCAACTTCTTGCTTCAATAGAGTTCCAAAGTCTGCAGTATGAGAGTCAAAATGGAACAGGGTGCTGAGGACCTGGAAACAGGCCTGTGCTCCTGAGGCCAGTGGCAAGAGCTTGGGAGTGAAGGTGAGGAAGGTGATGGACATTTGGAGAGGAGAGGCATCCCACAAAGAGGTGCTGCCTCCATTTCACAGTCCTTCCGACTGGCTCTGCCCTCCTTGAAAGTGGGCTCTAACCAATGTGCCCATCTGTCCTGCTTCTCCTGAGGCTGTCATATAGCCCTTCTACAGATGAGAAAACTAAAGCTCTGTGTGGAAAGAAATGGGGCATATGCATGTACTCCAAGTCAAGACTGGCTCTGATCCCTATCATTTATAGATTTAGAGCCAGAAGGGACCTCAAAGGTAATCTCATTCTCCCCCACCACCCCCCTCATTAGGAAACTGAGGCCCAGAGAGATTATGTGATTTGCCCAAGGTTAAACAAGTTCTCAGGTACAGTTAAGAGATGACTTGATCCATAAATCATTCATTTAAAAACCAGAGAGCAGAACTGGGATTTGAATTCAGGACCTTTGACTCCAAAACCAACATTCTTGGCATTGCAGCAGCCTGTCTCCATCCTTCTCCTTCATAGGGATGCTCTTCTGAAGATTCTCCCCTCGGTCCTGGTCTCTGTCTCTGTTCTCTGTCTTTCTGTCTCTGTTTTTTCTCTGTCTTTCTCCCTGCTTCTCTCTCTGTTTTTTTCTCTTTTTGTCTCTCTTTGTCTCCTCCCTCTCTGTCTCAGTCTCTGTCCTCTCTGTCTCTCTCCCTCTCTCTCTGTTTCTCTCTCTCTCTCTCTCTCTCTCTCTCTCTCTCTCTCTCTCTGGGTTTCTGTCTCTTTGCCTCAGTTTTCTCTCTGTCTGTCTCCCTGTCTTTGTCTCTCTGTGTCTCTGAGTCTCAGTCTCTTCCTGTGTCTGTCTCCCTATCTCTCTGTTTCTCTGCCTCTCTCTGACTTGGTCTCTATCTCTTTCTGTTTCTCTCTGTTTTCTCTGTCTCCTGTCGTTGTCCCTCTCTGTCTCTGTCTCCCTGTCTCTGTCTCTGAGTCTTTGTCTCTTTCTGTCTTGGTCTCTCTCTATCTCTTTCTGTTTCTCTATCTCTGTTTTCTCTCTGTCTCTTCTTTCTGTCTGTCTCTCTCTCTTTCCCTGCCTCTCTGTGTCTGTCTCTTGGTACATGGTCTCATGCACCAGCTCCCCGCTTGGGAGGGATTGCCTTGAAGAGCAGCGAGCCCAGTTTAGGGCATCGAGGGCGATGTAAGAGAAGGGAGAGCGAGGATCCTCCAGGGCACAGACCGACATTTCCCCGTCGCCCGGTGAGCTCAGCCTCGCTCAGCCTCGTTCCGCTGGACTCAGGGGCTCGGGTCGCTCAAGAGGCAGCCTGAGCGCAGGGCGGAACGATGGCTCCCTCCAGTGGACAAAGGCGGCAGCAACAGCCGGACTGGTAACGATCCTTCCCCGGGCTGGAGAAGAGGGCTCCCTCCTCACCCAGCTTGCGGGGCTCTGGGTCTTAGACGTCTAGTCCACACCCACTGCCCTACCCATTCTACAGATGAGGTAACTGTGGCTGGGGAGGTGAAGCAACTTGCCTCAAGTCCTGCACAAAGTGTCACGGAGACAATTCAAACCCAGTTCCTCTGAATTCAGACTCCTTTCTGTGACAGCCCACCGTCCTGCCCCTGACGTACTCTGGCTTATCTCATCCCAAGAGTGATGACCGATGTAGGAATGTCACACTCTAGGGGAGTCTGCCCTATAGGGGAGACATTTTCCACTCTCGGAGTGAGGCGTGGCTTGTGCTCCCGCCCCCCACCCCCCAATCACACATCCAGGGAGTATCTGCTATGGAGTGGGAGCAAATAAGCTTTGAAGGTCCCATCTGCCCGCGGGAGGAGCAATCCCTTCCGGATTCAAAGGATCCATTTTCCTGGCTAATGACTGGGCCATGGCGAGTTCGAGTTCTGGGTGGGAATCCCTTAGGGCTCAGTCAATGCTCCCTCACATGTATGCACCTAAAGACACACGTGGGTATAGAGCTCAGGGCATCACCCCACTGCGGGAAAGCAGCAACCTTCAGCTCCCAAGGGGGGCCATGGGCCATCACTTCCGAGGTGTAGACCACCAAAGCACACGGCAGGATTCATCACTCGTTAACTTCTATTTACTGAGCACCCATTGGGTGCACGACATTGCTCCTTCCTGGAGCCAGGAGGAGTTCAAAAGACACAATGAAGATACAGCCCCTGCCGTTTGGAAGCCTGTGCTCTCAAGGGTGTTGAGAACAGGAACAACACAGAGGCAGTGAGGCCCAAGTACGGCTGTGGGGAGAGCCAGGGAATGCGGGTTGGAGGGTGAGTCTTCCCTGCTGGCTGGTTCACTTGGCTGAGCAGAGACAATGAGAGCCTCTCCCTTCCCTCTCTCTGCCGTGGCCTTGGCCTCCCACATGTGCTGACACAGTCATTGCACCTCTCCAGGAAAGACCAGAATAAACCAGAGCAGCGCGGGTTCTGGGGAGCCAGAGGCATTTCTGGGGGATTCCCCTGGGGACCTTTTGGAGACACCAGGAGCCAGAATCCATCCCCCAGAACCAAGGAAAGGGGGCTCTGCCAGGCCAGGGCTGCTGCTCCTTCTGCTGGAGACAGAGGGAGAAGACACTTTTCCCTGGGTTTCCAGAGGGCTGTATATCTCAGGGTGGTCCTGGTAGGCAATCGGGCTCAGGGCAATCAAGATCATGGCTAGGAGGTAAAGATGAGAAGATACTATGTATGCTCTGAGCTCATAAGAATTTCCAGAGCTTGCCATCTTTCATCTAAGCCATCATCCCCATTGCACAGCTGCTCAGAGAGTGATTCTGCTGCCTGGGGGAAACTGGGCTGGAATCCTAGGCAGTTGGGGTACCCAGGCCCTGGCATGCTGTAAGAAGGGGTTCTGCTCTCTGCTGCCCCTTAGAGGAGTCATCACCCCTGTGCACACCTCCCCACCTACTCTTCGGGACTGGGGCTGGGGGAGGGGGAGGGGGAGGAAGAGTCCAGCATTGAGACCCTCTATCCTGCTCCTTGAGAAACAAAGGCCACTTGTTCCGGAGTGCCAGGTCTCTATCCTCAGCCCTGGAGTTTCTCTCTTGAGAGCGGAAGGTTCCTCTACCCCCTTCCTGCCACACTCTGACACTTGGCTCTGCTTAGCTGATCACTGAATGGGTGTTCAAGCCAGAGGCCTCTTCCAGCTGGCAGAGCCAGGGAAGGGGGGAGGGTCAATAAGGAGGGGGAGGGTCAATAAGGAGGAGGAGGGGCTGGGACTTTTGGGGAAAGTGTTGCTCTGCCAGGCTCAGTCCTGGGACACCTGCTGATGCCAGGCTCCCACAAAGCTGGGTGGGGTGGGGAGAGCAGGGGGAGAGAGGAGGCCCACACCTTTTGTCAGGCTGACCCAGAGAGCTCTGTAAGCTAGCACACACATACAAGGGCTCAGGGGTTCCTAGCTTCCTCCAGGATCGAGGACTGCCTAGAGCTTGTCCCACCCCCAACCCCTCAGGGGCTTTTCTAAGCAGACAGCCTGGTCTCTCCAGATCTGAACCTTCAACACCCTTTTCTCTGGACCTCTATGGTTCTGGTGCTCTGTATGAGAGACAGCACTCTAGGGGGCCAATAGCACTCCAGAACTGGAAGTGATTATAGAGGGTATCTAGTCCAGTGGGTTTTAGAAATAAGGGGTGATAATACGTTGTCCCATATCAGGTCAGGGGAGAAGCCCAGGTCTATCTCTTCTCTGTCTCCCCCTGCCCTCCAACAAGCAAGCATGACTTCTCTGGCAGGTGGGGGAAGTGGGGCTCATCTCTACACTTTTACCTCTTCTCCCTCTGGGAGGCTGGGGGTGAGGGATGTGATTGGAGGTTGAAGGCTGGGGAAATTTGGTGACTTCAGTGAAGCTGGTTGGAGGACAGAGTTGGAAGGAGGGGGAAGGAAGGGGAAGGAAAAAAAAACAGATGAAAAAGGGGAAGGGAGGAATTGGGGGCTACCTCCATCCATCCTTGAAAGAATGAGCCACCTGCAAGGGGTGGAGTCCAGCAGGGGTCAGGACCTGCTCAGCCCTGAGGCGCAGACTGGACTGAGGGAGGCATTTATCCCCATTGTGAGGCATCCATTCCTGGGTTCGGCCCTGGCAGGGGCCTTGTCTGGCTCCCAGCTTCACAACTGGTTTCGGTTTCTCTTGGGTATGATCTTACGATAGGTCCTTCTCTCAGAAATGTTCCGCTTCACCTTGGCTGTGGTGGGGGCCTCTTCCTGGTGCAGGGAGGGACTAGAATGGGACTTCTTGAGGTTAGGCTCTGGTTCCCAGGTGCCCTCGGCCTCCTGCGCCAGCCGGCTCTCCCATAGGTCCAAGTCATCGGAGGGGCAGCGCTGGCGGGCCACCAGCAGCAGGATGTAGGTCTCGTAACGAGTTTTCTGTAACACACAGGCCCCCTCAGCCCCTAGTCTCAGTATAAGGGAGGGAGGGAAGGAGAACTAGCCTGGAGTAGGGCATAAGGTTGGGGACCCTGCAGAAGGGTTGGTGTATGTGTGGCTGGGGTGATTGGGGCAGCCTTGTGATCTTTTCAAGTTGAGAGGTATGGGGGAGACATCAAATGTGTGTGTGTGTGTATGTAGATGGATGAGAGAGAGAGAGAGGGAGAGAGAGGGAGAGAGAGAGAGAGAGAGAGAGAGAGAGAGAGAGAGAGAGAGAGAGGATAGCTAGCTAGCTGATAGATAGAAAGATAGATGGATCACACACTTATGGACACATATGTAGTGAAGGCACCTAGGAACAAGATAAGTTGCTCTGAGCTCAGCCCCCAAAGTGGAGGGGCAAGAATGGGCTGGATTACTAGAAGAAATCCTTTCCCTGACACCAATGCCACACTTTGCTGGCAGAATCATACTCGCATTCTATAGTTAGAGATGTCTGGCATTGATCTTTTCCACCAACCCCTAGCCCCTCAGCCATCCGAACCCCTCTCCTTTGGCATTACCCACAGGAAATGTCCTGCCTGTCTCTGTTCATGGCTTTGTAATATAGATTTATACTTCAGGGTAGGACCTAGTCAGGGTGGGCCCTCCAACCAGTGAAGAATGCAGTTCCTATGGGACTTAATATATGATCTTGAAGAGTTGCTGGGGAAACTCCCCCCCCCCAAAAAAAAACAACCAAGTCACCCTAAGGCCAACCTGCTGGTGAGACTCATGAGCTTAGCTGAGATGATCCTAGGTTGACAAGTCCTTCTTTCTGTTGGGCTCCACTATTACTTGTGCTCAACTGGCAGAGATTTTAAGACTCAATAACGACTTTAAAATTTATAGAAAGTTTAAAAATCACAGGAGGAAAAAAAAAAACGAACAAAACCACAGAGATAAAACCAGGGTTGTAGATCTGGGCCTTTGTCTCAGGGTGCTGACTTTGAAAAAACAAAACAAAACACAGAGATGTAATCAGGGTCACGGACTGAGGCCTTTGCCTCAGGGTGCTGACTTTTAGGGTACTTTGACAGCACTTGCTCTCCATTAGCTAAGGAGAAAGATGATTCCCTAATTCCTGAGACTAATGAGTCAAAACAGGAAGTTACCAGATGGCAGCTTCCCTTGCCTAGAGGCATCACCCAGGCAAGCTCCTTCTTGGCCCAGGATGTGCTGGGGTCTGTCTCTCTTTCAAGGGACATTGTCTCAGTGCCTCCGCATCCCGACCCCACAACTGAACTCATCTTAAAAAGTTGATTTGAGGGTTTGCCCATTTCATGTGACTTTCCCTCAGGCACCTCATTGTTTCTTTGAAACATTTGCTCCAGATGTAAGCTGTGTCAGTAATAGGCCTGTAAGCAATGCTTCAAGAAATAAGGTGGACATTCAGAGGTAAATCATAAATTTGTACAAAAAAAAAAGTTGGTGGTCTTTCCAGATCTATTGGCTATGCTAGTTGAGACACATCAGTATGCATATTATCTAAACTTGTGCAGCTCATAAAAAATCATGTTAGGTATATTCAGAGATGCAAAGACCTGTAGGGACAATTTATGGCTGAAAAGAATTTTTTTCCTTAATTTTATGGAGGGAAACAAAATAAGCCCAAAGAAAAATGTTTTGAGTTAAAAAAAAATAAACTCGTAGCACTCTATGCCCTGACTTGGGCCTGGGGAGACTTTGGCCAGAGAAGTGATTCTCAGACTCAAGAAGATAAAGGTATGCAGGGTCAGGGACCTGCCTGAACTAGAGCTTCTGAGTGCCTATCAATGTCACCTATCCCCAAGGGCACCTTGCTGATGCTCAAGTGGAATTGAGCCTATACAGGGGAAGAAAGCACAGGAATGCCGTTAGTGGGAGAAGCATGGTTATGTGGAGGCGGGGATGGGGGGAAATGGCCAAATGCCATGGAGAAGGCCTCACCTCATACTCCAGGTACTCCTTCCGGAGCCTGTACTCCTCCAAGTCTCGGCTCCGGCCTCTCCGCTCAGGCAAGCTTTTCTGCAGATCTATTAGGTCATCAGAGGCAGCATCCAAACAGTTCTCATGGGATCGGTGTTGCTCCTCCTGTGTTTAAAAGGGGGCCAGTCTGAGGCTAATGCCTGGCCTTGGGACCAGCCAAAGAGCCACCCTAAATGGGCTATGTGGATCCCCCCATCACCTCCCTGGGGGCCCCTGCCCTCTACACTCCTCTCTTGGGCTTTGTCCTTACTCCTCCCTTCTGCCCAGGGGTCAGCATACCAGGGAGCTCCGGGCTGGGCCAGTGGGGAGGATGGGTCGGACAAATTTCCGTTGAGAGCCCACGGCAGCAGGAAAGGGTGGTGCAGAGTGGGTGGCAGCGGCCAAGTTGATCCGGGCAATCCAAGAAGTCATCTCTTTGGCAGTTCTAGAGTTAGCATCGTGAAAGCCATTGGGTGGGGGTGGGAACAAAGAAAACAGTGAATCCTCTATTAATTTGCCCTGTTTTTCACCTTAAACTATTTCTCTTCCCCCCTTCCCCATGCCACATGTACCCACTTCTCTCTATTTTTAGGGGGAGATTATCCCTTTCCTCCTCCGGCAGAAAGCACACACCCTTAGGGATTCATGGTGAGGTGTGGCCCAAACCAATAGTGGACTGAGCCCAGGTCCCAGCCAACAGCAGTCAGGGCTGAAGTCCCAGGAGAGAATGAGAAGGAGGCCGTATGGGGGAGGAGGAGCCCCAGAAGTGTAACGAGGGTCACTGTCTGGTCCTGTGCCCCTTCATCTTATCCTCCTGTAAGTACTCACGGGGCATGGAAGAGGTAGAGGCGCCAATCAGCTGTGCGCAGTTGAAAGACATGAGGTTTTTTGGTGTAATGGACAGCTGGGACAGCCAGTGCGTGGTGTACCCCCACAGCTTCCTCCGGCATGGGCCCTTCTGTGGGCCAGTCTTCTGGACAGGACTCTTCTCCCTGCCCCAGGGGGATGATACTTAGAGATGGGAAAAAATTTCCTGGGTCTGCAGAGGGAATGTGGGCCATGATCCTCCCTCCAATGGGATTCTAGGCTGCCCACTATGGAGATGGCACCCTTACCTTCAGGAAGTAGAGCACCATCCCTCGAAGTAGGGTGTGGAACATCTTCCAGCCACGCTTCCCCCAGGGAGCTGTCCAGAGAAGAGGAAAGAAGGTGGTGGGCACACTCCTAACTAAGGTTAGGTCACCGAGGCTTTGCCCCAGGGAAAAAGCTTCCCCTTGGTGTAGTCCTTTAATTGGGGGGGTTGGGGTGGGGGGACCTTTATGTGCCCATCAAGTTGGCCTTGGGATAAGCAGTACTTTTCCAGATAGACTGCTCTGGGAGAAGAGGCACTTGAGGGGCCTCTGACACAGTTTTTGGGAGGAAAAGGGGCATTTCTAGGGACAGGAGCTAAGTTACTCCAGGGTGGGGATAGTTCTCCCAACTCTCAGGCAGCCCTGGGCCAAATGTTAGATTGGGCAGAGGTTCCCAGGCCAGTATCCCCCACCTGTACCCGCAGTCACTGAGTTTGCCCCAGGCATCAGAGTGGAGAAGTTAGGGGCACAGTGGATAGAACACTAGGTTTGGAGTCAGGAAGATCTGAGTTCAAATTTATCCTCAACCATTTCCTTGCTGTGTGACCCTGGGTGGGTCGCTTAACCTCTGTTTAATTTCAGTTTCCTTAACTGTAAAATGGGGGTAATAACATCACTTGCTCATTGTGAAGATCAAATTAGATAATATTTGTAAAGTGCTTAGCATCATGCCTACCACACAGTAGGTGTTATGCCAATGCTTATTCCTTTCTCTTCCTCCTTAGTGATTCCTTGCCTTCTCCCTTCCCAATAGCCCTGGCCACTGAGAAGTAGCTGGCCCTGGCCCAGTTTTTCCATGGGAGGCAGTGTGACCTACCACTCATGGAAATGCAACTTCATACCCTGGGGAAAGGACAGAATAAAAATAGCCCAGTTCAAATGCCTTCTCCTCTGTGTAGCTTTTTCTGATCTCTCCAACCAGAAGAGATTTCTTCTCCTCGTTGGGGCAGTTGACAGACCACTAGGCCTGGTTCAGGAAGAGCAGAGTTTGAATCCTGCCTATCTGTGTGACCTTGGGCAATCCACTTATACTTTTTCAGCCTTTATTTCCTCATCTGTAAAATGGGGATAATAACAGCACCTACCACACATTACTGTTGTGAGGTTCAAATGAGATTCTATATACAGTGCCATATAAATGTGAGCTGTGATGATGAGTTCTTATTGGCCCTTTGTATGTATCACGTCTTTTCTTGGTCTATTTTGTATTAGGATTATTTACATATGTCTTTTTTCTCCATCAAAATTTTAAGCTTTTTGAACTGATGCTGAGTAAAGTGAGCAGAACCAGGAGAATACTGTACACAGTAACAGAAGCACTGTGCGATGACCAACTTTGACAGACTTAGCCCCTCTCAGCAATGCAAGGATCTAAGACAATTCCAAAAGACTCATGATGGAAAATGCTATCCACATCCAGAGAAAGAACTATAGAGTCTGAATGCAGATTGAAGCATACTGTTTGCTCCTTTTTTTGGGGGGGGGTTTGTGGCTTTTCCCTTTTGTTCTGTTCCTTCTTTCACAACATGAGCAATGTGTAAATATGTTTAATATGATTGTACATGTATAGCCTATATCAGATTGCTTGCTCTCTGGGGGAAGCGGGAGAGAAGGAAAGGAGGAAGAAAAGTTTGGAACTCAAAGTTTTACAAAAATGAATGTTGAAAAGTATCTTCACATGTAATTGGGAAAAAAATACTATTAAGAAAAAAAGAAAGAAAAAAATTTAAGCTCTTCAAGGATGGGTCTTATTCACTTTTGTGTATCCCCCACAGTCCCTTGCATGTGGTGGATGCTCAAGTCCTGTTTGCTGACCTAGACAGTAGGCACGGTCAGTTTATGTACCTCTCTCTCTCTCTCTCTCTCTCTCTCACACACACACACACACACACACACACACACACACACACACACACCCAGAGTGTCCAAAGCCTCAAACACTCACTCTTTTTTCCATCGACATCAGCGTGCATCTTTCGAGCCAGCAGCCCTTGCTTGTAGGTGGGTACGGTAGGATCTTGCGTAATCTGAATGAAGGTGTTGCGTCTCTTCTGGCTGCCTGAAATGGATGGCCTGTGCTTCATGGGTTTCATGGCTACCTCCTCCTCTTCGTCCCTGTGAGATGAGGAGACAGAGGGTATAAGGGCTGACTGGGATGATGGAAAGAATCCTTCAGAGGTACAGCCACAGGAGAGGCAATAGCTCTGAGGGCATAGGGGATAAAACACTGGACTCAGAGCCACATAGACCCTAGTTCAATTCCTGCCTTGGACACTAGCAGTGTAACCCTGGGCGAGTCATAAACTCTATCTGCCTCAATTTTCTCTTCTGTAAAATGAAGAAGATAATAGCATTTACCTCACAGGATTGTTGTGAGGACCAAATGATATAACCTATGTAAAGTGCTCTATAAATTGTTTTTTAAAAGTTTATTTTATTCTGAACTTAAGAAATAAAACAAGTATTTCCATAATGTAGTAGAATAGAAAAAAAGATGATTGCACATGAAACTGCAAATCTATTATGTACAACTTGCTATTCCTTTTAAAAATATAATAAAGTTATCATGTAAATTTCTTTTCTCCTGTTTTTCTTCCCCTGTTCCCCCCGGCCTAGAGATGTTCTATAAATTCTGGAAATCATTATTATATTATTAGGGATGGAGACTCAGAGGGGACAGTAGCAAGGTGGTCTCCCTGAACCCCTGAACATGGGATGGCCATCCCTTTCCCCCCAGAAATCCAGGACAGATTTTATGCTCTCCTGGCACCACCCCCAGTCTCCTAGGTTTCTATGCTCCAAGAGACAGGGACTGCCCATGAGCATGGAATGCTCTCTCTGTTCTTAAAACTAGTCTTCTCACCTCCCACCCCGTTTCGAGCTGTCCCATATATTCTCTGCCTATAGAACAGAACTGACCTGGGCCCCCTTCTCCTCCATCCCTTGTTTAGACACAGTGGTTGGGGCTTCCCCTATTCCCACTGGCAGCATGGATCAGGTCCTTGGGCTACTTAAGTGGTCCCTGATTCCTGGGTCCTAGGAGAACCACCCGGTCCCACAGCCTACCCCGGAGAAGTCCTACCAACATGGGAAGGGGTAGGGGCAACATGGGAGGAGGTGGGGGTTCAGGGATGCAGTAGGGAGGCGAAGAAGGGCTATCACTCACACTGCCCACTCCAGCTTCTCACTGCGGATAGACCAGTAGAGTGTCTGGAAACAGAAAACAACAGCAGATGAAGAAACAGACCATGGTCACCCTTAAAAGTTGATGAAACTGAGGTTTAAGGAGGTTAAGTAATTTATCCTAGGTCATGAACATCAGAAAGTAACTGTTCTTTGAAGCCTAGATCATGTGGCAAACACCCCCCCCCCCCACTCTACACCTGCCACCCCATGCCCCACCACCAATTCTTCTTTGTCTGGGGAACCTAAGGCCTCGAGGCCACATATGGTGGGGCTGCACTTGAGGACCGAGAGGGCCATATGTGGCCTCGAGGCCACAGGTTCCCCATCCCTGGCTCTAGGCTCTTGGGAGAGAGGGCAGCCTCCAATATCTTTTTCCTAAAGGGATAGTGGATCATTAACAGCCCATTCTGGGCATCTTCCATCCTCACCATTAGCATCCCAAAAGCCAAAACAAGCCAATGGGGAAATGAACTAGGAATCCTAAATACATCACGTCTTTCTTATAGGACGTGGCATCCCTCAGAGGGCTCCGCAGGTGATGGGCACGTGGCAAGCGTGTCCTAAACACCAGATGGAGGAGGCTCTGTCACCTGATAGCAAATTATTTCCCCTCTTCGGTCCTCAGTTTGGCTGAAATGGAAAAAATGCTGGGCTTGCAGTCAAAGGTTATCTGTGTGACCTTGGGAAAGTTATTGAGTGTCTCTGGGTTTCATTTCTGTAGTCCCTGAAATGAGGGGCCGGATGAGATGATCTCCACAGTCCCCTATCACTTGGGACAATGGGCATTAGAACATCAAGGAACTGGGTGTCCTGAGCTCCAAGAAGAAGCCCCCCAGCCCCCCCCTTGTTTGTCTCTATACCTTTAGCTGCTCTTTGGGGAAGTTCCCACCATCCCTCAAGCCATTCAGGTTGGTTATGAACTCCTGGCAGCTCATGCTCCTGCCAATGTTCTGCGGCCACATATGTCCATGGAGAAAAGCAGGTGTAAGTCACTGTCTAACAGCATCCCCTCCCCCTCTCCCCCATGCTCTCCTACAGCTTATCCCTGCCCCGGTGCTGGAAACATCCTCAATCTCTTTACCTCGCTTCTGGCCAGCTGGCACCTCAATGCTTTCCCTAACAGCTCCAACCTCCTAATCCCCACCCCCTTATTCCACCTCCTTGCCTTAGGTTCCATAGCACTCCTGAGCTCTCTCCCTACCCATCCTATACTATGCAAATGCCCTCCACTCATTAAGCCACCCTCTGATCCACCACTCCCGCCAATCACCAGCCCTTCTCTCCCTGATTGGTTACTTTCATGGCGCCAGGACTATGGGTAGGGTACTAAGGTACCCTCTTAGATTGAGCAGGCTGGTATTCCAGGAGCCAACCACACTGGCCTCGAACCCCAGGAAGAACTAAGAGGTGGAGCTTCTCCCGTTTTTTCTCCCGTCTCTGCTTCTCTCCCTTTCTCTCTTCTTCCTCCCTGATGCTCCCACCTCCTTCAGTCCCTACTTACCTGTCCATGCAAATCTGTGTTAAGGAGCATTAGTGCACAAGTCAAGGTGTGGACAGCATCTATGGAATAGAGAAACCAGGATGTCTGGGGTCTTTATATGGGCTAGGTTGACTCTCCTGGCCCTAACTACTATTAATACTGGCTGATTCAGTAGCATCAGACTCAGTGATTCACTAGAGCCGACTTTCTCCTTTTCCCTTTGCCTCCCACAATGTAAGCTGCCCTCAAGTGGCTCATCATGGCAAGGAAACCATAAGAGGATAGATTTAGAGCTGAAAGGGCCCTTAGAAGACATCAAGTCCAACACCCTCTCCCCATTTTACAGATGATGAAAATGAGTCCAAGATCACTTAAGCAATAATTGGGAGTCGAACCCAGGCTTTCTGACTCCAAATCCACCATATATTCCCCACTGGACCACACTGCCTCCTTAAGCATTGGAGTATGAGCCTTGCAAGAGACCGTCCATCTTTCATCCAAGCACCAGCCCAGTGAGATATGATGAACCTCATGGCCAGAGTGTAGGTGACTGACTCATTTCCACCCCTGAAACCATCCACTAATATCTGGAGGGAAGGGTGGCTGTGATGAGGGGATGCCCAGACAATAAAATCATCGCCCTTAGGTGTATTTGGGGGGCACTGCACCCCCTCCTCCAGTTCACTCCCAAAGCAGCAGTGACATAATCTCCCTGCCTTCTCTTGGATCCTTTTGTCCAGCCAGGACCCCTCCCCTCTGGCCTGCCCTGTCTCCCTCCATGATCATCCTTTTCTCACCTGCTGATGGGAAGGCCCCAGGGTTGCAATGGTGGAAACGCTTGGAGAACTGATAGAGGATTCTCTCTCGCTCCTGAGTCTCCCCACTCAACACCAGAGCCTGGAGGAAGCCCCTGGCATGGGGTAGAGGTGGCAGGATAAAAGTTAGGGAGGGGAAATCATTGGAAAAACAGGCAGTCTCCCACACCCAGAATGGATTCTACCCCCCGACTCCACTCCATTTGTCTACTGAAATCCTCCGTAGAATCATAGGTCCAGATCTGTAAGGGACCCAGGAGGTCACCTAGCTCAACTCTCTTATTTATTCATTGAGGAAACTGAGGCCAGGGGAAGTTAAGTGACTTGTCCAAAGTGTCTTATTCTAGGGAATATTGATCTAGACCTGGGAGGGACGTTAGGACCCTGAGGAGGTCCAACCCTTTCATTTTCAGGTGAGAAAACTGAGACCGAAAGAAGTCAAGGGGCTTGACCTTTGAGTCACAGTGGAAGTAAATATTAGAAATGGTGTTTGAACCCAGGATTTAATACAAGCTAGCTGGTATTACGGGGGCAACTAGGTGGCACAGTGAATACAGAGACAGGTTTGAAGTCAGGAAAACATGAGTTCAAATCTGGCCTCAAGGGGCAGCTAGGTGGCACAGCAGATAGAGCACCAGCCCTGGATTCAGGAGGACCTGAGTTCAAATCTGCCCTCAGACACATAACACTTACTAGCTGAGTGACCCTGGGCAAGTCACTTGACCCTGTTTGCCTCAGTTTCCTCATCTGTAAAATGAACTGGAGAAGGAAATGGCAAACCACTCCAGTATCTTTGCCAAGAAAACCCCAAATGTGGTCACAAAGAATCAGACATGACTGAAATGATGAACAGTAAGCTGGTATTATGGTTACTTGTCCTCATTTTTGCCCATTAATAGCCTATAAGCAACCTACCGAAGGGCTTGGTCCAAGCTCTTGTCTTTAAATTGGAAGAAGGACAGGTACTTCTCAGCCACATCCCTGCTGAAGTCATTGCTACAAACCAAGAAGGGCATGGGAAGAGTGAGGAGCCTGAATCTTGGAGCTAGGAGCCAGGCAGAGAAGATGGAGGAACAGGAGGTCTGGTTGGCCAACCTGGCTGCCCAGAAGGCCCAGCAGGAGGGACAGAAAGGGGGTCCTACCAGAGCCAGGAATCAGTAGGCTACCTGTCCAGTGAGGCAGGCATAGTCTAGGCAAGGTAACATACCCTGCTCCATTCTGCCCCAACATGGGTCATGGGAGGACAGGTAGAGAAGATCACTGCCACTTTGGAAACCTCATCCCTGACCAAGAAGGAGTATGAGGACAAAACTAGATCAGTGTAGCGGTGAGAGAGAAGGGGAATGGAAACGAGGGTGGGCCAGGGGACGCAGACATGGAACATGCTGCAGGTGGGGCAGGGAGGAGAAGCAGGGACAAGATGGCGGACTATACAGAAAGGCAATGCCATGGGCACATCAGCCGAAGCCAGCTGGCCCTCTAATCAGATCTTCCTTGTAAGGGGATGCTCCATCTTGTCTACCAACCAGCCTGGGCCCCTGCTCACTTCTTCTGAAGGTGCACGGCCACCTCGGATTTCCGGAAGCCATCCAGATGGTAGAGGCGCGAAGCCAGTTTCCAAGCTACTTGGTCAGAGCTGACCCCATTGGCAACCTTGTCTTTAGCCTCTGGTCTCTGCCCTTCTTCCTGGGGCTCTGTTTGGGACTCGGTGCTTTTAAGATGTCTGAAAAGAGATAGAAGGAGAGGACCTTGAGGATAAAGCTATAGACCTAAGGCAGACCACTGAAGAATCACAGGCCTAGGTTATCTCTGCTGCCGCAATATTCATGCTGCTAACGAAGGCGCAACGTCTAATATCAGTCCCAGGCCAGAGGACCAATCTAGGCCTCTGAGGAGGGATCTCTGAGGATGAGCATGACCCAAGGCCAACTGCGATAGGGAGGACAGCTTCAGGCACAGATTATCCCAGCCCTCAAGCCCCGAAGCACATAGGCAGAGCAGTAGATAGAGCAATAGACTTAGAGTCAGGAAGACCTGAGTTCAAATTCATCCTCAGACACTTATTAGCAGTGTGACCCTGGGCGAGTCACTTCATCTCTGTTTGCCTCAGTTTCCTCAGCTGTAAAATGGGGATAATAATAACATCTACCTCACAGAGTTGCTGTGAGGATCAAGTGAGATTATTATTATAAAACACTTAGCACAGTGCCTGGCATATAGTAAGGACTATGTAAATGTTAGCTATTATAATTATAATTATTAACTTCTCAGGACCTTAGTTTCTTCATCTATAAAATGAGGGTTGGGTTCTCAGGTCCCTTTCAGCAGCGAGTCTATAATCCTGCCCCTGTCATGAAGGGGACCCAGCTCTTGTAGGGTCTGAATAATTAATAATAATAGCCAACATTTTTATAATGATTTAAGGTTTGCAAAATGCTTTGCATATGTGATCTCATCTGATCCTCACGACAGCCCTGTAAAGTAGGTGCTGCTATTTCTCCCATTTTACAGATGAGAAAACTGAGGGATTAAGTGACTTGATCATGAGTCCATATGGAACTGATCAGGAAAAAGCTGGATTGAATCTGAGAGGAAGTAAAATCTAGCCTATTCCTTCAAACCTTCGCTGACAGTGCTCACGACTTTCCATCCGCCTGCGCTCAAAGATGTTCAGGAACGAAAAATAAACCAGTAAACAAGCCTGAAGCTCAAGATTTAGGAGCTCCCGTCTTTCCAGCTTGTGGTCTTCCTCCCCCTCCTCCTCCTCCTCTTCCTCCTTCTCTTCCTCTTATTCCCTAGAAGCCTCCAAGTTGGGGTGGGTAGCATGGGAGCATATGGACAGGCATGACAGCAGAGAGCCTGGCTCAGCCCCAGGAGGAGGAATGATACAGGGAGCACACAGAGAACTGCCTCTCTTTCCACGAGACTCCTCCGTGTAATGAGACATGTTTTATTTGCATCTGTGAAGTAACTACAGCTAATGCTTATGAGCTAATTGCTTCTACATAAGCAAAAGAGCTAGCTTCTCTGGCTCCTCTAGGAGAGACAAAATGGCCCTGGGTCCTGGAGAGCAGATGATCAAAAGGGATTCAGCATCCAAGCGGGAGGCAAAGGATAATTAGGGGAAATGGTTTGGAGGAAGCTGGGCTCCTGGAGAAATTTTTTCCTTTGCTGGTAGCTAAGGGAACTAGGCCCAGACTCAACCAGGAGTAAGAATAGAAGATTAGGAAAGAGATATCAAGGGAGTTAAAGTAGGACAGTTCAGCCTGGGCCTCAGATAGCCAAAGACGAGAAGTAGGAAGAGAATACAGACTTCATGGGGAAAAAAGCTGGAGTCAGAAACAAGGAATTTCATTGTTTGGTTGTTGTCCTTCATTCCTGAAGAGGACCAAAATGACATCACCGTGTTAAAGTCAAGTTACAGTGCGTCCGACTGTGTCTGATCAGACCGATATAAGCTCGTAAGGCTCTACACCGCAGGTCAGGCACAAATAGCCCGTGTGAACATTTGGGGTGGATTCTCTAAATTTGTGCATCTTGAGTTTCTTTTGAGCCATTTTAATTCCGCTTTGCTCATAGAGCCCAGCACCTTCTCTGATGAGGGCACACTATGCTGGGTGGTCCTGAGCCAGTGTCTCCCATGTCACAAATCAACTCCAAAGTTCTTAACAGAGACCTTAAGAGTGTCCTTGTAGGGGCAGCTAGGTGGTACAGTGGATAGATCACCGGCCCCGAAATCAGGAGGACCTGAGTTCAAATCCAGCCTCAGACACTTGATACTTACTAGCTGTGTGACCTTGGGCAAGTCACTTACCCACATTGCCTAGCCAAAAAAAAAAAAAAAAAAAGAATGTCCTTATATCGTACCTTCTGACCACCATGTTTGGCTGGCCCTGTGTGAGTTCTCCATAAAATAGTCTTTTAGGCAAGCTTATATGCGGTACTATCTATTTGGAATGATGGTCCAATAGGGCTTATGCCCTGATCAAACTTCAGTTCTCTACAATAGTAATTTTTATTGCCCTCAAGAATGATAAGAAATTATAAGGATCATAAGAAAAATAAGATAATGATAAGAAAGGATAAGAAAATAATAAGAAAAAAAGAAAAGTATATTAGGTAAGAAAAGAAATCTTTTGTATAAACACTTGTGATAAAAAGCAGACATCCAAGTCTGTAAGAAATTGTCACAAATTTGAAAGAGTAAGGCCCATTTTCTAACAAATAAATAGTCAACAGCTAGTTATCAAAAGAAAAAACCTACATTAATAATTAATATTAATTAATTAATAATTAAACTTATTCAATCTCTAATAATCAGATGCAAATTAAAGTAGCTTTGAGATGCCATCTTACACAGCAGAGGAGGTGAAAAAAGCTCATGACAACAAAAAAACAAACGATTAAAATTTAGAAATCCAATGCTGGTGAGGCTGTGGAGAAATAGGCACAGAATTTGTAGAGCTGTGAATTGCAATCTGTTTGAAATCTGTTTGAAAAGCAATATGGAACTACACAATAAAAGCTACTTTTCATAGCCTTTTGAACCAGTGATCCCACTGCTAGGGTTGTGTTGTAAGGATTTTAATCATAGGAAAAACCTGTTTCTCTTTATACAAGCGTCCTTTAGCAGCACCATTTGCAATAGCAAAAAGCTAGAAACAATCCATATGGGCAGGAATGTCTAGAAAAATTGGGAAATATAAATGTGATGGAATGTCATTTTATCATAAGAAATGACAGACATGAAGAGTATAATCAAATGAGAACATATGTAAAGTACTTCACAAACCGTAAAGCACTATGTAAACAGTAGCTTTGACTATTATTACAAAGAAATGGAGGGAGATTTATAGGAAATGATACAGGGTGAGGAAGGCAGGAACAAAAAGTATGTACAAACTCTGGAAATTAAAAGGAGTTGTAACAGTAACTCAGTCCAGAAAAAAAAAAAAACTCAGATGAAAAAATAGGACGGTTGTGATTTTAAATTTCCTTTCACCAAACTGCTACTAAAGGAAATGTAAGTTTTGCATACGATTATGTTTGTGGCCACTTATTTTATTCTTTGTGCATTCAAATGTTTGTTTTTGTTGATAGTTACTAAGGTCAAGAAAAAATATATAAATTGCAAAGCATTTAAAAAAAAAGAAGAAATTTGATCTGAGAATGTGCTTTGTAGCAGGAGAGGGGGTTGAGGAAGAGAGAAAGGTGGGGGGAAGATATTAGTTTCCGGAGGCCATCTAACCACAGGAAGAGGCCACAAACCTGCAGAAGTCGGGGGTAAAGCCAGGCGTCTGAGCACTGGGGAGAGGCGGACAAAGCCCTCAGGTGTTGAGTGGGATAGGGGAAAGGTCACACTAATCTAGGACCCTTCATTTCCATTCTCTGTGACAAAATGGATTCAGGCATCCTCAAACACCCAAGGGAGAATGAGATAGAAAGAAGAGGGGAGAGACTTCTTTCTTCCCTCCCTTCCTTTTCTTTCCTTCTTTCCTTTATCCTTCTTTCTTTTTTCCTTTCCTTTCTTCCTTCTTTTGTTTCTTTCCTTCCTTCCTTTCTGAGATTTCCAATGAACGCTATGCTCATGGGATTGTGTTCTCCTATTACTCTATTCCTGTTACTGACTTTTCAGCCCCACCCTATTCAGCCCCCCATTTAGAAGCCCAAACAACTTGACTTCAATTCATGGGATCTCAGGGTACAAATTTAGGGACAGGCTGGCCAAAAAGGACCACAATCTCCTTACTTAACCTAGCTTGAGGCAGGTTACCACCCCAATCGGGCTCTTAAAAGCTTTGTTGCTTTGGATTTCAAAGCTGGACTTAAAGTCAGGAGAACTCAAATCCTGCCTTGAAGTCAGCCTCAGTTTCCCCATCTGCAAAATGAAGATAATAATAGTACTTCACAATATTGTTGAAAGAGTCAAATGAGATTATCTATGTAAAAATGCTTTGTAAACCTTAAAATGCTATGTTGCTATTTATCATCATCGTCATCATCATCATCATCATCATTATTTTAGGGCTCACATTCCACCAGCCTATAGTTTCAGCCCCAACCTTTGGGGTACTCAGGCCTCCTTTCCCGGCCACTGACGATCTTTACAACCACCATTTTGGGGTTCTGCTCTCCCCAAACTCCACCTGTATCACGTTGCCCTTCTCCAGGTCCTTTCTGCTTGATTAGACTTTTGCTCCCAGTTCAGGGTGGGGACTCAGGGGTGGGGGTAGAGGTTGTGCACCGAGCAGTACTGTCACCTCCCAAAGTGGACTTGAAGTCAGCAGAACTAGGTCAAATCTTGGCTCTGATCCGGGAACAGGGTAATGTCAGTCATCCTTAATTGTAAAATTGGTTTAATCGCACACACACTACAGGCCTTACGAGGTTGTTGTGGGAAAGGGCTTTCTAAGTCTTGAAGCACTGTATAAACATGCCTCGTAATGAGTTTCCAGCTGCTCAGCCTGTCTCAGTAACCTCACTGATTCTTCTTTCTTGTCTCTAATTTTTAACTTTAAAAAAAAAAAAGGCTATTTCTTAACAGCCAGCCAGCTTCCGCCCAATTGTGCTGTGATCTGTGCTGTGGTTTCTCATGATTTTATACCTTCTAGACTTTCCAAAAACCCTCCTTTTGCCTCTGTCTCCGGCAGATCCCACATCTGGGTCTTTGGGGGCACTTTTATAGCCCAGCTCACTAGGATTACCTTTCCCCTTCCCTTTCCCCCTCTTACTCCATCCTACAGGATAAAACATAATACATCACACACATTATATGCATTATAATTATTCCTATTAGTCACTCCCACTCCCACACCTCGCTGGGGAGGTGATTTTCCCTATACTTACTCTCTGGTGTTGGGGGGTGCTGGGCTGACATCCTGCTGGGCCTCCCCGGCCACTTCTACCTTGATTTCCTCTTGGCTCTCCACTGTCTTCCCTAGGGGCAGGGGCTCACTTGTCTTCAGGAAACCAGGATCTGCTTCCTCCTTCTCCAGGGACGAAGGGTAGGAGGCGGCAGCCAGCATTCTGCCCTCAGGGAAGGCACTGTCACGGTGAAAACTCCCCTCCAGTGGCTGCAGAGGGCTGGGGGTCAGACTAGGGCTAGGACTGGGGCTGGGGCTGGAACTGGAGTGAGCACTGAGACCTCCGACACCAATTCTTAGGCTGCCAGGCTCCTGAAATGAGTCAGGTGGTGCCCAGGGGCCTGGAGCCAAAAGGCAAGTTGGCTCAGCATTGCTTTCACCTGGGGAAGAAGGTGAAGGTTTGGATGACCCTCCCCCTAATGCCTGGAAGATGCTCTCCCCACTTCCCCCTTCCCTATCCCCACTTCCCCCTTCCCTCTCCCTCCTCCCTTTTCCCTCCTCCCCACTCCTTACCCTGTTTCCCCCTCCCCTTAACCATCTTCTGCTGTCCTTTGTTTTTTCCCTTTCTCCCCTTCTTTCCTCCTTCCCTTCTTCTCTTCCTCCTCCCTCCTTCCTCTTCCCCTTCTCCTTAACCTGCTTTCCCCTTAACTGTCTTCCCCTTTCCTTCCCTTTTCCCTCTCTTCTCTCTTCCCTTCTTTCCTCCTTCCTTTCTTCTCTTCCCCCTTCCCTTCTTCTTCCTCTATCCATTTTCCTCTTCCCCCTCTCCTTAATCTGCTTCCCCTTATCATCTTCTGCCCCCCCTCCCTTTTTCCTCTCTCCTTTTCCCCTTCCCCTCCTTTATTCCCCTCCTCTTTCCTCTCCCTTCTTCTCCTTCCTCTCTTCTTCCTCCTCACTTACCTCCTCCTCCTCAGTCCCCCTCCCCTGTCTCCCCTTCTCTCTCTTTATTCCCTCTCTCCTTTTTCCTGTCCTTCCTTCCCTTCTCACCTTTTCTCATCCCTCTTTTCCCTTTCTTCACTCTCTTCACCCCTTTCTTCCTTTGTTTTTTTAGTTCACCTACCCTTTCTTCCCCTTAATTTCCTCACTTTTCTCTTTGCCCTCTCTTTCCTTCTTGCCTCATCTCTTCCTCTTTACCCTTTCCCTTCCTTTCTCTGTCCCTCTCTTCCTTTCCCTCCTTCTCCATCTGAGCAGCATTAGCATCAACTCCTTAGGCCCTTTGTTTTGACAGCTTGCCTTTAACTGGAGCAACAAGGCATCCAGGGACTGGGAAACTACTGTCCCTCCGTATGGTTGCTTATGGAGGGAAGCGAGTTCCTCCAGGTGTGCCCTTCTTTCCCCTCCCTGCTCCCCAGTCTCAGGCCACCTGTGGGTCTTAGAGTTGTCCTCACTCCATCTCAGGCCCCAGGCCCCCTAGTCTGAGAGCTGTCCCCTGCCCTTCCCTGAAGTCAGTTTCCAAGCAAGGACTCACCTGGACCTCTCTCCTCCAGGCTGAGCAGTTGCTTGTCCACACTGGAGGGAAGCTCTGTGCTCCATTGGTGTGCGTGGCTGTCCTGGACCTAGGGGAGAAAATCCAAGCTCAGTTCCTTCGAGCTTGGTCACTTATGAGATCATCTAGTCCAACGCCCTCATTTTACAGGGGAGACAACTGAGGCTCAGAAGGAAAGTCGCACAGAAAGTTCACTGTGGAGCCAAAATTAGGAGTTGGCCCTCTGGAAGCTCGAGTCGCTCTCCACGGCCAAGTGAAGAAGATCTGGTGGCCAAGCAGAGGCGGCTGACTGGAAGTAGGGAGATCTACTGGGGGCGGTCCCTTTTTTCTCCCACCCAGAGACTGCAGGGGCAGCGCATTTTAGCTCAGGCAGATTGTGGGGCAGGGGGAGCCGAGAAGCACTGGAGTTTCATACCAGAGGGGATGATAAAAGACTACAGAGAAGGCATAGCACGGGAAGGTGGCGCCTAGCAGGAACTCTACAAACATTCGCTGAACTGAATGCTTATTTTGTTTCTCTCTTCTTTACCAAGGAGGATGATCTTCAGCTGGGGAGGAAGACAGGGTTAATGGGAAACAGAATAGCTAACATCCACCTACGGGGAGAGTTAGAGCAAAGCACTTTATTTACACCTTGCCATATTGATCCCCACAACAACCCCACAAAGTTGGTGCTGTTATTTCCCCATTTTACAGATTTGGAAATGGAGAGAGGGGCAATGATTTGACCCCAGAGTCTCACAGCTAATGAGTGTCTGGGGCAGGATTTGAACTGAGTTCATCCTGACATCCAGGACTCTATCCTTGTATCCCTGTAGCTGCCTCACCCAAGGTGTTGGGAAGTGGCAAGAATACATCTCACTGCCCTCTGGTCCCCAGTACTGGGGTACGACTATCTTATAACCCTGAAAACTTAAAAAAAAAACACTTGGAATCCTAATTATCGAGTAAGCAAGAGAAATGATCATCAGTAAGATTTACATAATGCTTTAAGGTTTGCAAAGCCCTTTATATATTTTCTCATTCAATCCAATAGGTGCTATTATTATCCCCATTCTACAGATAAGGAAACTGAAGCTGAGAGAGAAAATAAAATCATGATATTAGGAAAATGTGGAGAATAGGAAAAAAATGTTCTAAGAATGAGAAAGGATAAATGTATTGTTTTTTTTTAAGTTGGGAAGGAAGAGTGGCTTCTTCAAATTCCAGAACATTAAAGAGAGGCTTATGAGCACTTAGAGAAATAATGACATCTAAGAGTGAGTGTGGATTTAGCTATAGCAAGTCATACTGGACTAACTTCATTTTCTTTTTTGACGGGGTAGCTAGACTGTAAAATCAAGGGGATAGCACCAATACTGCACTGTTCACCTGGTCTTTAAAGGGCATTTTTAAAAGTCCTCCATGATTTTCTGCTAGAACTCTGCTCTGAGGCACAGCTATCTATGAGGCCATTGTCACAGCCCCAGCTACATCCACTTTCAGCTCCAATGGGTTGGATGGTGGACACTGAATTTCTTGTTTGGGAGACAAATTCCCAGACTGCAAGGTTTAGTCTCTTTCCTCCTCCCTCCCCTCCCAGTAGGGTGATTCTAAAAACTGATTCCAAAGTTTATTCTACTCTTTCCTTTTCCAATCTGTTTAAATGATTTGAATTTCTTTTGCCAGCTAAAAGAAAAAAAAATTGATCCATCTAGCTCCTATTGATATCTCTGATGCCTTATTTGTTAATAGGGCAAAAAGTGTGGCCGGCAATGTCCAATATTTCAAAATTGGGGGCCAGAGGAGAGAGAGAATATTTCTGTCATGGATGAATTTCACCTCCAACCCTATAACCAGGTAAACAAAAAAAAGTTATAGAAGTAAAGCTTAGCTCAATCTAAGGAAACACTTCCTAACAACATGAACTGTTCCAGAGTGGAAAGGACTGTCTTGGAAGGTGATGAGTGCCTCATCGATGTAAGTTTTCAAGTAGAGTCGGGATAACAATTCATTGGGCATTTTGCAGAAAGGATTCCTCCTTAGGTTTGGGTTCTACTAAATCAGGGGTTCTTAATCTGGGGTCTAGAGACCCCTCAAGGAACCTGTGGATAGATTTTAGGGCATCCATGACTTTGAATGGGTAAAAAAATTTATATCTTCATTTTTACTCATCTCTAATGAAAAATGAGCATTTCCTTTGATTATGAATGTAGACAGTAGAGCATCATTCTGAGAAAGGGTCTATCAACTTCATCAGATGACCAAAGGCGTCCGAGACAAAAGAAAAGGTTAAGAGCCCCTCCAACGGATGGTCTCTGAAGTCCTTTTCCGAGATACTCTGATTCTGTGATTTTCGAGTCCAACCCACTCGCTTTACAGAATTCGTACCTTGCCCAGAATGAACAGTTAGCCAGTGACTGAGGCAGGATGGATTACAGCTTTCACTCTGGGTCTGCTATCCTTTTCACTACAACATGCTGTGGAGGGGAACAGTTAGGACAGCGTCCCTCTGGGGTGGTAGGAAACCATCCCTCAGAAGAACCAGACAGTCCCCCTTAGAGTGGACTTCACCTCCTTCAGGGGAAAGAAGCGATGAGGGGAGCTGGATTCTGCACCAGATTCTGATCAACAAAGAGATGGTGCCTGGAGTGGAAACCATGGCAACCAGATGGCTTAGGGCATAGAATGCATAGAAAGACAGCGCTTTCCACTTTGGAATAGTTCATGTTGTTAGAAAGTGTTTCCTTAGATTGAGCTAAGCTTTATTCCTATAACTTTTTTTTTGTCTATATAACCTATCTGGTTATAGGATTGGAGGTGGAATGCATCCATGACAAAAATATTCTCTCTCTCCTCTAGCCCCCAATTTTGGAATATTGAACATTGCCAGCTACACTTTTTGCCCTATTAACAAAATAGGCAGGGAGACCCGCGTTCAAATTCTGCCTTAGACCCATACTAGCTGCATGACCCTGGGCAAATCATCATTTGCTTCATTTGGAAAAAGAGGGTACTAGTAACAGCTCCATCCTAGGGTTGTTTTAAGGTTAAAATGAAATCTTTGTATGGTATACACACACACATTAACATCACACACACACATATATATACACATAAATATACACATATATAATTTGAATAGCATATTCATATAGTACCTCTATGAATGACAGCTATACTATTACTATTTTTTGGAGTCAATTGGGGTTAGGTGACTTGCTCAAGGTCACCCAGCTAGTATGTATCTGAGGCTGGATTTGAACTCAGGTCCTCTTGACCCTAGGGCCTGTGCTCTATCCGTTGTGCCACCTTATTATTGATATTATTATAAACAACAAGAATCTTAGGAACGGAAGGTAAGGACTTTCCTTTGGGTAATTGTATCACAGTGTCTGGTCTGCACACCTTTAGCTATAACCTCTAATGAATCTGGAGAGCACACCCTTATCCTGTGCCTTATCTACTCCCCGACCTCTGTACTCCTTCAGTCGAGCCCGTGGTAGATGTTTCCGCTAGAAAACTAGGAGAGGAGCCCAGGGCTTCCAAAGGACAGGGGGTCTCCCCCTGCCAAGCATGTATTCCATGTCTCAAAGAGTGGAAGGACCATGTCCAAGGGCACTATGATCTGAGACCAGCGTTGCTGTTACTCTCGGCCCCACCCTCTCGTGCCAACCAGCTTAGCTTGAGTTCTCATGGGCAGACTCAACCCTTTTTCTAAGACATTGGCTTCTTCCTTACCGACAAGGTCTCCTCCACCATCACGGGACTGGAGACGGAGGCAGGCACACTGGGACAATCCTGTTTCGCCCAGCACTGATAATGCAGTTTATAGGTTGGCACCGGGTACAAGGGGTCAGGCTCTCTGTCAGGATCAGCTACCCCAGCCACTGACTCGGGCTTATTCTCTAGGTTCCGAGAGTCCTCTTCTCCCTTGAGCAGGGATGTCTGGGTCCACTGAATCTCTGGTTCGAACCTCTCTTGCTCACTCCTCTCTTCTCCCTCCAGTACTGCGAAGCTCCAACAAGGCTCTTCATGAGCACTAGTGACCGAGGTGGGGCTCTCTAGGAAGAGAGGATTGTCAAAGAACAAACTCTCCTCCTCTTCCCCCCACTCCACAGGAGAACTGAGGGGCTGGTCCTGGGGAAACTCTCGGGGCTCCTCCTCCGGCCCGCTGCTGTCTTCCCCAGAGTCGATGCCCTGGTCTTGGGAATTTTGCCCACGTGGGGAGAAGCTTGGGGGCTCTATGGGGGAAGGTATGCAGCGCCTTAGCTCTTCTCGGAACACATCTGTCTTTTCCAGCTCTTCTTCCAGGTCAAGGACGCACATCTGGGCCTGGAGGATGCCAGCCCAGAACATGACCTGGGTGGAGTTGTTCTGGCTGTCTCTCCCGGAGTGACGGCGTTCTCTTGGAGAACTGGGTGAGGCATCCCTATTTGATCTAAGGTAGTGTTCTGCAAGAGGTAACATCTGTGGGCTGTTGTTAGCACTGGAAACATCTTGGTTTGCTGGACCAAAAACCCAGGTTTGGTCCATGCAAGGTCCAGGAACCTCTGCAGGCTCATAGACTCCCCTTGGGGGTTCTCCAGAGACTGGCTGAAGATTCTCCCCCAAGTGGGGCAAGTGATAACCCATGGACTGAGGATGACTGGGGAGCCCTTGGCCATCCATCATCCCAGACAGTGTAGCAGCAGGCTGGGAACCTCCTGCCTCCTCTGCCTACAATCCCATTGTCCTTTCTGAGAGCAGGGCAGGTCAGAGAAGTCCCCGGGATGCACGTGCTTCTACCCTGTGAAACCAAAGCAAACAACAGTTAGTGAACTCTGGGTTAGATCCGCAAAGCCTCCAAGGAAAATCACACCCCTGAGAGGGCGGGGACTCAGAAGAAAACAGAAAAGAATGGGGTAGCTCAAGCCCAAGCCTGGTGTGCTCCCTGGGGGAGGAGGCAGAAGGCAGGTCAACTTCCAAGGAAGGCTAGAGAACCATTTGTTGGGTGTATGTGTGTGTGGAGAGGGGGGTGAGATTCCCGCTCAGGCAGAAGTTAAATGAGAGGGTACCTTCCAAATGGAATTTGGCTTGCTTCCAGAAAATCCTGTGGATTTTCTTCCATTTATCCTGTATATAGCTTGTTTGTACCTAGTTATTTCATGTTGTCTCCCTCATTAGAGTGTAAGCTTACTGAGGGCAGGGACCCTCTTTTGCCCTTCTTTGTATCCTGAGCCCTAGCACAATGCTTAGCACATACTAGGTGCTTAGTAAATGTTTGTTGACTGACTTCATGGAATCAGAATCTGAGAATAATAAGGGACCTTGGAAATGATTTATTCCAACCTTCCATCCATTTCAGGCATCTTCTCCTCCTCCTCCCTCCATGTGACAAACCTGACTGGGGTGGGGGACATCCAGCCCCTCCTTAATACTTCCTTCCTGTCCTTCCCGTCATCCTTCAGCTTTGTTATCTTCCCATTGGGGTAAACTCTCAGAGCCAGTTTCTCAGGGAACCTCACTCAACTGGATCTTCTAGTCAACAACAAATGCTCATTAATCACCTAAATCCTGCTCTGACACTTGCTAAAGGCAGCATGGTGTGGAAGAGCGAATACTGGGATTGGAGTGATGGGTTTGAATCCTGCCTCAGACAGTTCCTTGCTATCTAACCTTGGGTAGGTCACTCAACCTTTCTGTGCCTCAGTTTTCTCTTCTGTGAATGTTGGCCTAGGTGATCTCTAGGGTCCCTTCTTAGTCACTTTATCTCTTCTAAGCCTGAAGCAGCTCACTAGGATGCTGTGACCTGTGCTCGTGGAGAGAGTGCCAACATCCTGCAAACCCTGGGACCTTGCTTTATGGATCTCTCCCCTTACTGGCTGTGTGACCTTGGGCAACTCACTTCCCCCATCCCCAGGTTCCTCATCTGTAAAAGGAGGGGACTGGACCAGATGGCCTTGGAGGTCCCTTCCAGCTGTAGCTCCGATCCTAGCTGGGGAAACAAAGATAAGACACAGACTCTGAAGGAATCTACAGTCAGATGGCGAGATGGGGTGGGAAGAATCAGAACTTCACTAATGCAAAAGGGGCTGGGTCTCTCCCGGAGCCTGAAGAGTGCAGCCTAGCAAGAACTCTCTAAGCAGCCCCTAACTGGGGGACACTAGACTTTTTATGTCAGATCCACGCATCCAAGCAGACCAGAATTTGGCTGCCTGGGGAGGCAATGAGAAGGCACTTCTAGCAGACGGCCACCAGGTGGCAGGCAGGAGCTGACAGAAGACAGGAGGCCTCTTGAGGGCTTCTAGACCCAGACCTACAGAGGACCTTAGCGCCTCACTCAACCTGGTAGTTTTTACAGTTGAGGAAACTGAGGCCCGGGGAAGTCAGGCGACTTCACCACGGTCATACAGGCAGTTGGTGTAAAAGGTGGGATTTGAACCCAGGCCCTTTGATTCCAGGCTCAGCGTTCTCTGCACGGAGAAGAGGGCTGGGAGGGCCAAGTGGACAGAGCACCAGGTCAAGACGCCTGAGCTCTGGGGCACCGTCGTCAACTTTGCCTCAATCGCCTCCTTACACAGTGAAAAAGAGCCTGCTTTGCTGACTATTGCCCCCGAGCCAAGTCAATGAGGAGACCCTTTGGGGTAAATTGAATGTGTGACAGTCATCTGTGCCCCAAACATAACATGACTTGCCCAAGGTCACCTCCTCCTGGCTTAAAGTAAGTGGACAGAAACATCTGGATAATATTCCCAGGGCCTCAAGACCATAGGTCCTCCAGGTCCTCAAGTGTGACAGCCCCAGGTTCCTTACCCTGGTCAGATCTATAGAAGGAAGGGGGCTAGACTTGACCCTTCCAGCTCTAAATAGACCATCCCATTTGCTTGATCTGGCTAAGCCTCAGTTTCCTTATCAGTAAAATGGGGATAACCCCTCACAGTACCTACCTCGCTGGGTTGCTGGGGGACTCAGCTGAGATGAAAAAGCCTTGGCAAACCTCAAAGCATCATGGAAACATCCGACGCCATGCAGACTTTTTGACCCTGGATCTGCCTGAGCCGTCTGAGGAAGCGGAGAGCTAAGAGATTCCAGACCTGAGCAAGACGGACGGCTATGGCCCCACCCGCCCAGTGGGCAACCCTCGGCCCCCAGGGGGGAAGGGCCTCAGCTCTCCGTGGGGCTTTCAGGTGTGCCAAGCGCTTTCTTCACATATATTAATTTATTTGAGCCTTATAGCAATCCCTTCGAGGTAGGTGCTATGCCCATTCTACAGATGAGGAAGTCAAGCCTGAAAGATATTATGTCACTTGTTTAGTTATGTACTTGTTTCGTGCAAGTTATGTGACTTGCACTGATGAGAATTAGCTGAGGCAGGATTTGAATTCAGGTCGTCCTGCACTCTATTCACTCAGCGGGCTCCCAATACAGAGCTCTTTGGCCCTGCATCAAAGACCACACTCAGCCCTCAGGCTTCATTGAGAATCATTCCCTGACCATGTGAGGCCTCATTCACTCGGTCCTGGAAACTTTCAGTTCCCTTGGACAAAGAGCCCCATGATTTCTCTGGACCCAGCCAAGGCTGGTGACTCAGAGGCTGGTTTTGCCCATCCCATTCAGGCGCATGAGGCCAGAGGAAATGAATCGGAGAAGTCCCTGAGCGGGGGAGAGACTCTGGACCCACGCTCCAGCAGGATAGGGAGCCGACCTTCCTGGGTGCAGGGACACACAAAGGAAGAAGACAGCGCATGGCGGTCAGACCTCTGCCCCCAGAGACAGAGACATCTCCCCGAAGGCCCCACATCCTGCCAGGAAGGAAAATTGTCATTTATGCAAATACAGTCATTGAGAGAGAGACAGAGACAGAGAGGGGAGGGAGGAGGAGGGGAAAGATTGGAGTGGGGGGGGAAGGGAGGGGAAAGAGATAGAGAGGGGGAGAGATAGAGACAGAGACAGAGGGGGAGGGAGGGAAGAGAGACAGATAGACAGAGACAGAGGGGGAGGGAGGGAGGGAGGAGAGAGACAGAGACAGAGGTGGAGGCAAGGAGGAGAGAGAAACAGAGGCAGAGAGACAGACACAGACAGAAAGAGACAGAGACAGGAGGGAGGGGAGTGAGAAAAGGAGAGGGAGGGAGGGAGAGAGAGAAAGGGGGGAGGGGAAGAGAGAAAAGTCTTTGAGGTGGAGGGTTCTTTGGGTATGTTTGGAGGGGACTTCCCCCCTCAAAGCCCCGATTACCAAGTCTGAAGGTCGAAAGCCAAGGTCAAAAAGAGGGATGGGAGAGGAAGGAGGAGGAAGAGGAGAAGGAGGAAGAAAAGGGAGAGGAGGAAGAGGAGGACAAGGTACCCAGCCACCTGCCAGCTGGGTGGGTCTCCTTAGAGGCTGCCTGCATTTTGTTTCCTCCCCCTAGGTGGTTGCCTGGGAAAGCACACCAAGCAAGTCCCCCCCCCCAGCCTGAGCCAAAGCGCCCCAAGCCAGCTGGGCCTGAGAAGAAGTTCCCCACCTCCCCTTTCTTGTTCTCACTCTCCCAGAAGCAGTGGCGCTGGAGGGGCTGCTGTGCCCTTAACCCCACCCCATAACACTGTACCTAACTAATAATAATGAAAACAATAAAAACAACAACATTTATGGAGCACTTTTAGCTTTACAAGGTACTTTAAATACAGTATTTCATTTAAAGCTCACAACCACCTTGTGACAAAGGTGCTCTCATTACTGCCATTTTGCAGATGAGGAAACTGAGGCAGACAGAAGTTGTGTGACTTGCCCAGGGTCACGCTGCTAGTACTGCATGAGGCAGGATTTGAACTTAGGTCTTTCTTACTCCTCTGGGCTCCCTGGGGGCCAATGTGCAGACCCATCTCCGTCTCCCTTCTTCTCTCCTTCCCCTTCCCTCTCAAAACATCTGATGTCATGATGGAAAAAGCAATTGATCTCTACAATACATCTGGCATTTGGGTCCTATTGAGTCCAGAGGTTTTTCCTTTGTGTCCTGGACCCAATGGGCAACCTGGTTAAGCTTAGGAACTCCTTCTTAGAATACTGTTTTTAAATGCATAAAATGTAATGTTATTGAGTCATTTCAGTTGTGTCTGACCTCATGACCCCATTTGGAGTTTTCTTGGCAAGGATACTAGAGTGATTTGCCATTTCCTTCTTCAGCTCATTTTATGGATGAAGAAACTGACGCAAACAGGGATAAGTGACTTGCCCAGGGTCACATAGTCTCTGAGGCTGGATTTGAACTCAGGTCTTCCTGATTCCAGGCCCAGTGCTTTACCCACTGCAACACAGGTGCCCCATAAAATCTAATACATAGGATTATAAAGGAAACCAATGATAGTGAGATAATTATTAAAACATATGTGTATATATATATGAACAAAATGAGTATGTAAGTATACAGAGCAGGGTTCTTAAACTGGGTGCTATAAACCTGTTTTTTACATATATATATGTGTGTGTGTGTATACATATATATTTCACATTTGTGTTAAATGCATATGTATTGCACATAACATGAGATACATGTACATACCACGTGTGCATATGCTGCAAATATATAACATGCTACATGTGTGTTTGTATATATACATGCATATAATGTGTTGCACATGTGAGATATATGTGTATACATGTATTCTCTCTCCCACAAGTTTATAGCACCGAGGTTAAGAACAGTGCTCTAATTATATAGCTGATCTCCCAGTTATCTGTCACCTGAACTCCTCATAATAGCCCCAACTGGTCTCCCTACTTCAAACATCTCTGCCCAAAATCTTCCTAAGTCACAGATAGGACAAAGGAAGGAGAAGGGAACTGTATCTATAAAGCACCTACTATGTGCCAAGAACTGTGCTAAACATGTCTTTTTTTTTAAAAAAACAAATATAATCTCATTTGATCTTCATAACAACTCTAGGAGGTAGGTGTTGTTATTAACTCCATTTTACAGATGAGGAAACTGAGGCAAGCAGAAGTGAAGTGACTTGCCCAGGGTCACGTAGCTAGTAAGTATCTGAAGCTGGATTTGAACTCAGGTCTTACTGATTTTAAGACCCAATGCACTAACCACTGTGTTCCTGGCTACCTCTAATGATCGTGACCACATCATACTCAAAAGACTAGTGGCTTTCTATTACCCTTGGGATAAAATATAATTCCTTTAGCTTGGCATTCGTGGTCTTCCACAATCGGGTTCCTACATATCTTTCTGGCTTTATCATACAATATTCTCCTTTACATAACCCACACTCCAGCTGAACTGGACCGCTCTTGTTTTCCCAAATTGGATGTCCTATTGCTTGCCTCCTAAGCCTGGAAAGAATTCCCTCCTTGAGGGCAGGGACGGTTTTTTTATTTTCCTTTGTGTCCTCAGTGCACCGTGCCTGGTACTTAGTAAGTGAGGGCTTAATAAATGCTTATTGATCGACTGATTGATTGTCATGTATAGAGGCTTCACACTCTGCTCCTTCCCTCTCCTCCTTCCCCGTGCCAGTAGAACAACTTCATAGGGATGAGGACTTTCGTTCTTCCTCACCTCATCATCAGCTCTTTAGCACATTGGTTGAATTTTGCAGCTGTTGAGTGGGAAACAGGCCAGGTTGTCTCAGGAAGCCCTCTCTTATCTGTTAATGGCTTCCCCAAGCTTCTGGCTGGGAATTCTCAAAGCACTAGGTAAACACCCCTCGCTTTTCATGCTATGACTGGGCACTCTTGTGGTCTGAGGAGGGGGCACTAGGCAGATGGATTTCCCAGATGCAATGACATGGTACAATCGTGGGTCACTTCCTGACAACTAGGGAGGTCACAGCCTCTAATGCAGACCCTGCTGCTCCGAACCTGCTGAAGGGCCTGGTTCGGGAGCCTGTTGGCCTTCATGGACTTGGAACCCCCATTCCCCATCTCACGTGGTTCTTTGTCCACTAGCCCTGGTCTTGCCTGTGGGGCCAGCCCTTGACCCTCATGCTCTGGATTGTTGAGTGTTCTGGTCTCAGGTGCATTAGGGAGAGCCCCTGGGGGCTAAGCTTCTGCCTTTGCTTCCCTTGATCTTTTCTTTGAATTCCTTTGGATTTCTTTGCAGGATCCCCAGCAGGTGGGGCAAGGCATTTCAGCCTGTTTATAACCAAGAGGGTCATGGTGGTGATGGAGGAGGAGGGCCTTTCTTTCCATCACAGAACCCTGGATGCTTGGCTGGGAGCCAGTACCCGGCGAGCACAGGAGAAGTGCTGTTGGTGATGTAGGCCGGAAGGAGTGGGGTGAGGGCTGGGAGGATGTGGCAGGATGCTCTCAGTGCAGGGTTAGATACCGAGTAGGCATTCAAGAAATACCTGCTAACCGATTGACTGTTGAGTCATCACATAACAGCTTTTCATCGTCTCCTAGCTGGGCTTTCTCACAAAATCATAGATTTAGAAATGGAAGGGACCTTAGAAGTCATTAAGACCTGCCTTTATTTTACAGATGAGTAAATGAAGACCCAGAGACATAAAGAGACTTGCCTAGGATCACATAGTAGTAAGCATCCAAGGCAGGATTTGAACCCAGATCTCCCTAATTCTAAGGCCGGAGTACTATCCACCCACCCATCTCAAGAACATTTCCCATAGGACTCTTTCCATATCCTTGATCTGATGTCCCTTGTCCCATTCCAGGCCCTTCCCAGTGCTGAAAGTGGATTCACATCACTCACCCCTCCAGAGCTGAAAGGAGTAAGTTGGCCTGGACCTCCCCAGGGAGCAGCTCCAACCTCCGTGTCCTCCCTGGTGAATGGGGCAGCGTTAGCAAGCTTCCGCCTTCCGCCCTCCAGCTCCCAGTCACCTCCCCCATGGTTCCCCCAAGAGCTCCCCTGTTCACACACTTCCTGCCTACAAGACGTAGCTTTGCCCAAAGACGGCCCACGCTGCCTCCTCTTCCTCTTTCTCCCTCTTGGCCCTCCCTGCTCTGCCCAATGGCTGCCCACCTGCCCCTGCACCAGGCTCAGAATTAGGGCCAGGCTTTGCCCTTCCCTAGTTTTCACAGGGGTTGGGGTTGGCAGGGAGGCAGGAGATAGTCACCATCCTCCCTCTCCACCCTGTGGCTCTCAATCATTACTGTGTCATCTCTGTTCCTCCACCTCTTACACTTCTCTGGGGGACTGAAGCGGTTGATGGAGGGAGGTTGGGTGCCCATTTTCTCTGCTTTCCCACACTGGAGTCCAGCTCTGGGGCTTTGTACCCAGCGTGTGTATGCTTGAAGCATGTGCCTGTGGGGTACTCCAGTCACCTCTTTCCTTTGCATGCAGACTTTTACAAAGACACACATATGATCTCACACCTCTTGGGTGGTAACAGGCAGAGACTGCCATCCTTCTTTATCAGAGGTGCACATGAAAGCGGGTGAAGTGACTTACCTAAAGTCAGTCTTGGAACCAGAGTAGAATTGGGGTCTTCTGACTCCCAGCCCAGCCAATGTTCTATTAAGGAAGTGGTGCAAGCTGGGAAATCTACCTTCTTTGAACCTTGCCCTCAGGCTGGGAGTCCTGATCTTTGTCCGATGTTTAGGTGGGTGGATTAAGAGCAATAGTGTATGGGAGGGAGGGGCATTAACAAATGAGACCCCCTAAGAGCCCTGGCTTGAGATCAGGGCTGCCCCCAGTTCCTTCTTCCATGACAAAAAGAGAAATAGTTCTTGGAGCTACAATGGGGAGAGCTCTCTAGGATCTAGGCCAGCCTAGACCCCACGATTGGGTCTAGATAGCACAAAGGCGTCCTTCTCTCCATGGGCCCCAGAACCAAGGCTGAGCTGACCATCAGGGCATCTCAAACTGTGATGGACCAATGGCTGTTACAAGTCTAACTGGATAAGTCTGTGATCCCATGAGCTACAATTAGGGCAAGGCAACTTGGGCCTCAGGGCACCGATACCCAGGGGGTGCATTTTTTCCCAGTGATTTTCTGGCCCATCAGCCCCATGACTTTCAGGCCTTTTCTAGGCCCGTGTCAAGATCCCCAAATCTACATCATGACACCTCATTTCCTTGCCTAGCCTTGTCCACTACTCACAAGGGTCCTGTCCCTGTCACACCCTTCTCTCAACATCCACCTTTGCCCAAGGCTTGCCTGTCACCTTTCCCCAACTAGCAATTATAAAAGGGTTGGACTCTCTTGGGGAGTGGTCTGCTTCTCCTCTGCTACAGCTGTCAGCTATGCTGCCTGGGCCAGATTGTCTACCCTACCTCCCCATCCATCCCTCTGCCCTTCCCAAATGAATTCACCCCGGGAGCAAGAATGACTGGTTAAGTCGGGCAAGTGACGTTGGATTTCCACTCCCCTGGGTCTTCCCTTCTTGCTTCAGGTCATGCAGAGTACAATCCACCTGCCTCAGTCTGTACTTGACGTGCAAACTGGACACACAGGCCCGCAGCAGGACAAAGCGCCACCCCCCCTTGCCTCTAACCCTTTCTTCTAGGAGCATAAGCTCACTTCCTGTTTGCTTAAAGAGGAAGTTGGGTGGTGGCAGGTAGTGAGTGCGGTGGAAGGGGCCTGAACTCTTGAGAGTTGCTCTATGGGGTGGAGGGAAGGGATTAGATCTCCTGGAGACTAGCCACCCAGGCTCAGCCTCAGGGTTCCTCGGCTCTTAGTCCATCACCATCAGATACATCCTCACACACACTTCTACAGGCCCTGAAAATAAGAGAAAGATCAGGGTTGTGAGCATCCAAGTGTCCTGACTCTCTCCTCAGATGTATTATCGAGTAACCTGGCTGGTCATTATCATCAGCCACGGGCCGTCTAGGGGTGATGAGGCAGGGGACATGGGCTAACAGATTCCAGCATTGCCCTGGGTCAACATGCTTCTAGAGGTGCTTCCTTTGGGTACTTGTCCTTTTTGAGAAGACCCCACTGAATCCACATCCTTCTGCTCATGGAAAGAGACTCACACTTGCCCAGTTTCCCTCCCACCCATGTGAATGGATTTCTCCCACTTCATGAAGTCCTTAATGTGCCAACTGGACAGGCAGGCAAGCAAAGCCCCACCTCTTACCTCTAACCTTCTCTGCTAGGAGCATAAACTTCCCCTTCTCCCATCTATCTGACCTCTCCTCCTCAGTCTCCCATGCTGGGTCATCATCTTTGTCCCATATGGGCAAATCTCACTACTGTTCTGGGCCTCTCTTCTCCTTCTCTCTCTATCTCTCTGTCTGTCTCTGTCTTTCTCTGTGATCTCACCAGCTGTCATAGGTCCAGTTATCTCTATGCAGAAGACTCCCATATCTATAGAACTAGCTCTCATCTCCCTCTTGAGCTCCAGTCTTGAATCTCCAAATGACTGTTGGAAATTTCTGCCTGGCTTTCCCAGAGCAGTCTTAAACTCACCGTTCCCCAGACAGAATTCATTACTACCCCCCTCTCCTCTCGTCTGACCTTCCCTGTCCTCTCAGTTATCCAGAATTGCACCTTCAGAGTCACCCTTTATCCCTCCCTCTCCCTAACTCCCTTCCACATCCAAACAGCTGCTAAATCTTGTCAGCTAGGTGGTGCAGTGAGCCTGGAGTCAGGAAGACCTGAGTTCAAATCCAGCCTCAGATGCTTTACTAGCTATGTGACCCTGGGCAAGTCACTTCACTGCTGCCTGCCTCAGTTTCCACATCTGTAAAATGGGGATAATACTAGCACCTACCTCCCAAGGTTATTGTGAGGATCAAATGAGAATAATTGTAAAGTGCTTTGCACAGTGCCTGGCACATAGTAAGTGCTACATGAATGTTAGTTATTACTAGGAACTGTTGTTGATTTTACCTCTATGACCTCTCTTGTATCCTGATTCTTGTTAAGACTATTATTCCTCTTCACTGGTACTCTTAAAATAGCTTCCTAATTGCTCTCCACTCTTCAACACATCTTGCACACAGCTGCCAAAATTATGCTCTTAAAACTCAGGTCTGATTATGACACTCCCCTCTTTAAGAACCTTCAATAGCTCCCTATTACCTCTAGAAATATAGATGTCAGGGTTTGGCATTTAAAGCTTTTCACAGTCTGGCTGCAGTCAATCTTTCTAGACTTCCCCTAACACACATTGTGTTCCAACTGCACCAGCAGATTTATTATTTCCTCTGCACATCATTGTACCCTCTGCAGCTTGGCACAGACCATCCATGATGCCTAGAACGTTCTCACTTCTACATCTTAGGATTCCTACTTTCCTCAAGGCTTAGCTCAAGTGCCACCTCCTCCAGGAGGTCCTTCCTAATTCCCTCTAGGAGGTTAGTCCTCTCTTCACCTCCCCAGAAATGACCTTGTGTGGACTTGGAATAGACTTTGTATTATATGAATTGTGTGCTGTACCTGTTGTTTCTTCTCAGTAGAAGGTTAGGGATTGTTACATTTTTGTCACCATTTCCCCAGTCCCTAGCACGGTGCCTGGCATACAACAGGTGTTTAATGAATGCTTGCTAAATTGAATTGAGAGCAATGTGCAAAAGCCAGTCAGGCTACTATATGAAGCGCCATTTACCCTGGGGTTGAATTTTTGCTGAAATGAATTAAATTAGACTCATAGCACTTCAGAATTGTCCAACTCTCTTATTTCACAGAGGAGCGCCTGAAGGCAAGAGAGAAAAGGCTTTGCCTGAGATCACACAGGTAGAAAGTTTCAGAGCTAGGTTTTAAATCTTTTTTTCAAATTGAATTGAATTGATAGGGTGCTGATTGCTGGAGAAAGAACCCTTTAGAGGCAGAGCAAAGGAAGGCACAACCCAAACCTCTTCGTCACCCCACCCATGCCCCTCAGGAAGGGAAGGAAGTGATTGCCTAGGAAACTCACAGAAGCTATGATCTCCTGGACTGGATTCCTAGTATCTGGAGGTAGGTGCAGTGACTTCTAAAAACCTCAAAAGTTTCATCCACATGGGAGCTCTCTGTTTTTTGGGATGTTGCAAGACAAATTAAGATTAATAACAACTCATATTTATAGGATACTTTAAGGTTGGCAAAGTACTTTACAAATGTTATTCCATTTGATCTTCACAACAGTCCTGGGAGAGTGGTGGTATCATTACTCCCATTTTACAGAAGAGGAAACTGAGGCCGAGGGAGGTTAAGTGATTTTCCCCAGGATCACACAGCTAATAAATGTCTGAAACAGGACTTGAACCCAGGTCTTCCAGAGTCCTGCACTCTATCCATGGTGCCTCCCAGTTTTAGAAAGGGATATGGTATCAGAGGATTTGGGTTCAAATCCTGGCTTTACCATTTACTATTTCTCTGTCCTTAGAGTTTGGGCTTCAGTTTCCTCACCTGCAAAATGAAGGGGTTGGACCCTGTGTCCAGTTCTAGGTATATGATCCTGTAAGTAGCAGAACCCTGATTATCTGATTCCAAATCGAATCCTAGAGAGTTACAGCCAAAGAACTAAAGGGCCTTAATTGGAGGCAGAAGAGGTTTTGTTTCATCTCCTCATTTTATCTATTGGGAAACTGAGACCAGAGGGAGAAAAGACCTGCCCAGAGTCCCAAGGGCCATGGTTCAGGGCCTATTAATCTCTTCATCTTCCTTCCTTTCTACTTTGCCACTGCCACTGAGCTGACAATGTTGGTTCTGAATTATATGAAAAACTTTTTGATCCAGCTGTGGTGAGGAGATGCGTGTGCGTGTGCATGTGTGTGTGTGTGAGTATGAGTGTGTGTGAGAGTGAGTGTGTGGATATGTAAGTGTGAGTGTGTGTGAGTGACTGTGTGAATATGTGAGTATGAGTGTGTATGTGTGTGTGTATATGTGAATATGTGAGTATGAGAGTATGTGAGAGTGTGTGTGTTTGTCTGTATGAATATGTGAGTATGTGTGTGAGAGTGTGTATGTATGTGTGTGTGTGTGTGTGTGTGTGTGTGTGTGTGTGTGTAAGGAGGGAGAAGGGTTCTTGATGGGTAGTGAGAGAACAGAACTCTGTGGCTCAGGGCTGTTGCTTGTGTGTCTCTTTGCTGGTCCTGTCTTTGGGGCTGGGTGTGTAACCAGGCCCCAGTCTCCCTACTCTAGTGCTGCCTGGCCTGTCTGCACATCTGTAGTCTAGGAGGTGAGTGTGCTAGGAAGGCTGAGGTTTCAGCAGATGCTTTATGTTCTGAAACATGTTCATGAGAGGAGGGACAGTGAGGAGTTCTGGATGCAGACCACCCCAGGGTCTTTTTTCTCTCTCTCCTGAAAATCTTCCTTTGCCTTATAGTCAAGATGGAGAAAAGGAGGAAGCTAGGATGAAGATGGAAGGGAAGAGCAAGCGTCTGTCTCCCTTATCAAAGGGTACGCGGTCCAATCTTGATGGATTTGGAAGCCAAGCCCTCCTCTTGATTAGCCAATGCTTGTCTGCTGTACTCAGGACAGAACGACCTTTGGGAAACAGGGATGTCCTTAAATCCAACTCACGCACAAGTCAAGACGTCACACATCACACACTGACGTCTTTGGTCCTCTTCAAAAACGAAGGGTGAACAACATAAAGAGGCAGCATAGGACGTGATGTTTTTACCCCTTACAAATCTGAAGCAGCACCATGGTCAGTTCATTCATTTGTATAATCATTTCCTACCTTGCGTCGGGGCAGCTAGGGGGCGCCATGGTGCACAGAGCGCTGGGCCTAGAGTCAGGAAGACTCATCTTCCAGAGTTCAAATCCAGCCTCAGACACTTACTAGTTGTGTGACCCTGAACAAGTCACTTCGCCTTATTTGCCTCAGTTTCCTCATCTGTCAAATGAGCTGGAGAAGGAAAGGGCAAACTACTCCAGTAGTAGTTCTCCGCCAAGAAAACCCCAAATGGGTCACAAAGAGTCAGACACAACTGAAAAACTACTCAACAACTTTTCCTCAAAGGCCTCAAGTTAAAGGGGTGGGGTGTCTCTCATAGTCTTTCTATTAAGCATCACCCCCTCTGTAATCCTCTTTTAAAATTTAAATAGAGGGGCAGATAGGTGGCACAGTGGATACAGCTCCAGCCTTGGAGTCAGGAGGACCTGAGTTCAAATCTGGCCTCAGACACTTGACACTTACTAGCTGGGTAAGTCACTTAACCTCGTTTGCCTCAACAACAAAAAAAAAAGCAAAAAAAAAATTAAATAGAAGAGATGTGGCACTCTACCTCCCTCCTTTCTTTGCAAAAAGTATATGTTATGGTATATACCTACATACTATGAGTATACAACAGCACATAGACTGTTGAACTTGGCCAACACATTGGTCAGTTTGGCTGAACTGTGTTTTCCTCTTTCTTTGTTATAAAGAATAGATTTTTGGGAGGGCAGAGGAGGGGAAAGGGATACATTGGGAAATAAAGGTGAAGTAAAATCTAAAGATATCCACAAAAATATAGATTTAAAAAATAAAAAAGTAAATATGTCTGGGAAGGATGACATGTTGAGTCCCTAAGAAGCTTATTGGGAATTCATTTATCAGATGCCTTGAGGAAGGGGAGCACTGGAGAGGA